TCAGTCCAAATAAGCATTATCATTCTTTAAAAAAAAGTCTCATCAAAAATGATTCTTCTTTTTTGCGGTAATATTCAGAGCAGGGAAGAAAACCACTTGTCCTGTGTTTGTCTTATTGATTGCATCAGAAAGTTAATGAATGACACGTTTTTTTCCTGTAAGACCGTCCATTTGGCTTTGGTAACTGGATTTTTCTGTTTCAGATAAACTACCCTTTTCTATTATTGTCCTTAAATTGGTAACACAGCACAAAATTCTGCATAGAAGCCATCTTGAACCTTTAATTTTAGGCAATATGTGGTTTAATCTGGGGAGTTGTTTCTTAGCTCATGTACTTGTGACCAGCAGCTCCTAGGAGGAGGATTAAGAAACTCTTGCACAAAGTGGAGGGGAAGGGAAAATAATTGGAAAAGAAAGGCTAGGGGAAATTGTGATACCCAAAAAGAGCTTAATTGAGAGACTCCAAAACTCGGGATGGGATAAAATTGCTGTGTATTGCATCAAGAATATCTCTGTTATTTCTTAAAGGCACATGGCTTCTGCAACTGCGACTATGTTGTTCTGTCTTGTTAAGAGGTAATTAGGATATGTTAGCAATACAGCTGAAGACCAAGCATCGATTTCCTCAGTCTCTTCCTCAATCAATTGAGAAGGCTTAAGAAGAAACAGCGAAACAATATATTTCTGGAGTAGCAACTGAAGAAAGGCAGTAGGTGCTGCTAAACTTGTCAGGCTGTGCTGTTTGTGTTTTCATTTTGGTTCTGGTTTGAAATAATACAGTTGCATGCTTGAAAAGAACTGTGTGTTATTAATGAGATTCTCTTCCATTACATACTCAAACTCTTCATGTCACATATGGTGGCAGAAATGGGATGGATTTGGTTAAATGAAAACTTAACTTTTAAGAAAAGACATGGATCAAAGTGAAGTCCTAGTCACTGAGAACAATGTCCAGATGGCCAAAAGAGAAAAGCATTTTTAGACTGTTCTTTGTTCAGAAAGGAAGCAAGATGGAGGCAGGCAGACCCAGCTGGAACCATTGGAAAGGTCATAAGGAAGGCAGGAGCTATGCAGAAGCAGATAAGATGTTTTTTAACATTAATTTGTAATTCTGTCAGTCTTATGAGAGGACTTTCAGGTTTTGGTAAGCAAGAGCAGACCAAAGACCATGGAGAAAAGCTGTCTTTTGGAGCATGGATTTTGTTACAAGAAGATACATGCGAGATCAGTACTAACTGGTGGAGGCTGACTTAAGACATAAAGGGATAACATTTCCCTGGTGGATTGGTGGTATTATCCCCACCCCCCAACCTCTAAAGGGAAAGGCAGTGAAAGTCTTTCTCGATTCAGGATGCTATTGCCTGAAATTGAAAATCTTTGATATAAATTGCAGCAGTGCAGGTCTCTCGAGTTCCATGGGATTTAAAAGATGTGAAGTCCTTCTCAGAGTGGCTCTGTTCAATTAAACTCCCATTTCAAAATCGGTGTTTCCTAATTTTGAGGACTCCTTGAGAGCTTTGGCAGAGGCACAAGAAATTTTTACTGTTACCGTTTGAATCCAGGCTTGTTGGCACATGAAATTCAGGGAAAATAAGAAAGTGATTAAGACAGCTAGCATCATGTAGACAGTATCAGTGTTGCAAGGAATGGTATATGTCCGTAATAAAAGTCTCCTGTCTGTCAGGAGCTGATTGTTCACTAGATGAAGAAAATGGACCTGTGCACAAAACTTACAGAAAATAGGAGGAAGAGAGACAATGAAACACAGCTCAGTAAATTAATTAACAGAATGCCTGAAATGTCTGCATATTCATCAAGTCGTACGTTAAGACTGGGAAGCAGACTTTTCCCTAACTAGCCTTAAAGGAAAGAGCTGTAGAAGAGGTGGAGTTGGAAAGGAAAATTGGAAGCGAAAAAGAAATCCCTCTCGCAAATGATCAACATTTACAAAACCACCAGCAAGTATATGGAAAAAGAGATGCTCAGTAGCAGAAGGTGGATTAACTGGGCCTTGAAACGCTTTGGAGAAGCTGACAAGCTGAATTTGAGTCTATTTTTTCCAGCTTTCCTGAAGCCACCAGTGAGGCTGTGTAAATCCCATATGCTTCTCTGAAGGTTCAGTGCACCCAAAACTGAAGACAGTTCAGAATGGATCTAAACCAGACAGACCTAAACAAAGACTTTCCAAAATGAATAAAAATGTTTGTGAATGTGGTATCTCAGTCTCCAATTTAAACCAAAAAGATCCTATAGCAGCAAGACAGTTGAAGCCTGTAATTCTCAAGATGTATGATCTTGAGGAGCAGTGCATGACAAAGATGGTCTGCAGTCACGTTGCCCAAGGTCTATCATCCTGTTGAGGTAAATCAGGTAGGATATGTTAGTGCCTGGCCCAGAAGCTAAAGAGTTAATCACCCACATCCAGCAGGAGGGAAGCAAGACAAACAACTCTTCAGCGTGAAGGAGGCAGAACAAGCAGCAGGGAAAAACTGGGTGCATCTGAGCCTGCCAGATCATGCTGTTTGTTTGCTTTTCTCTTTTACATTCTTCTTTCAGATAGGTCATACTGCTACACCTCTGGGAAGCTCTGCAGTAAGCCAGACACCCGTCGTCTTTTGAGCTGGCCTTTTGACAAGGCAACTTTTAAAGATTAGGAGCTAATGGCCAGACTTTGAATATTTAAGAAATTTGGACAGTGTTAGGGAGGCAGCAATGAGAGGCTCTTGCAGTCTCTCATGAAAAATTGCATGTGTGACTGCAACTGTCAGTAAGTACAAACATAGAAGTTATATGGGATACAAATTTCTCTGAATCAGAGGATTATCATGTAGTGTTTTGTGTGTCCATTTAGCTGTCTGAAAAGTGACTAGATTAAAAAAACAAATGTACTGGCTGAAAAAGAAGAGAGTTCTGACTTTCAGAGTATTTGTTTTTAACAGACTCACACCATGCTAATATGGCAATTAAAGTGGACTTTCATAAGCGTGCAACAACTTGTGAGGGTTACTTTTAAAAAAATTAAGTTGTATATATTATGGCAGTTTGTTGTATCTCTTGTTTTTCTTGCAATGTATATGCCGACTTTATGTGTTCTTGGTGACTTGATGGCAAGACGTCTAGACTCTGAGATGAGATTAAAATAGTCATTTGAAAATCTAACTGTGAGGACGTACACCCTTCAAATAAATGCAGGGCACAGTCAGCTGCTTTCCAACACAACAGCTTAATTAAAAAAAAAAAAAAAGTTCTAAAGGTTCCCATACAATGTGATTTTGTTGGAGTGCTGAGATCACTATGTTTCTTGCCCCAGAACAGGCACATTGTATCTATGCTGTTCTCTCATGGTAAGGCATGCCTGACAGTTCGCAACATCACATTCATGTAAAGGGTTATTCCTTACAGGACAGGATGTTGGCCTCTTTTTCACCTGAAGAATTGCCAGATGTGGTGCTTGTGCTATTTCACTATCACATCTTAGAAAACTTTCTAATAGTTCTGATAGTTAAGTAACCTGGAAAGCTCAAATATTGATATCCTTTATTTGGTTGGTCAGAGTTCTTGGAACTGCTACTGTTCCTGGCACTGAGCTGCTGTCTGGGTCTGATCTAGAGTTCTGTTTGATTTCATCAGATATTTTGCTTTTGATTGTGACTTTCACTGGAAATCTCTCTAAGCAGGTAGTGTTGCTATGCTATGTGAGCTATATATGTCCTTCTTATACAGATAGTATATATCAGGATATAACTGGTGCCTGAAGAAGAAAACTTTCTCATGTTTTACGAATGTCTTGTGCTTAAATGTTTCTTTTATAGATGTGTTTCTGTGATGTAATAACCACATATACATAGCTGTTCATTACAACTTTGTACTGTAGTTAGCTTTTGTTACTCCTTACACTATTTTTAGAGTAGATCCAGGTCATATTTCACTCGGCCATCTTTTCGGTATCGCACTTACACACAGACCAAATTTTGTGCAGTTTTTGCCATCTTTTAATCCTTCACTTGTTAAATGAGTAAAACAGCGAATTTCCATTCATCCTCTTTCTTCTAGTTCATCTGAACCAAGTATTGAGATACTCAGTTTTTATAGTGTTCAAGCAGTGAGTGTCTGTAACCACCGTGCTCGTTGATCAACTCTGAGCAACCTAATGTAGCTTTTAAGTTGGCCCTGTTGTGAAAAGGGCCCTAGACCAGATGAATTTCATAGGTCCCTTCCGACCTAAATTATTGTATGATTTTATCTTAGGGGTAGTTTCTGATCTTGTAAATCTCAACTTTGGTCTTTTTCTTTAATGCGGGTCGAAGTGGTTTTGTACATTACTGCAGATATCATTCATTTCTTAGCAAAGAAAAATGAGAGAAAGGGATACACTAGTATGAACTAATCTGTCAATTTAATTTTTCATCCTCC